TGGTCCCTGTGCTGCTCCCCACTCCCTGCCTGGCACCACCCATGAGCAAGGTGGGGTTAACACAGGAAACTCCCTTAGGCAGAGAGGACAAAGGCTGCTCCAATGGTCAAGGAGCACATGGACAGTCTCAGCCAACAGACACACAGAGAGAAGGGTCTCCCTGAAATTGTCCCCTATGGACCAGGGAGCCCCAGCCACCTGACCTCCCACCAACATCTTTATTCCCAGGACACCCTGAAACTGTAGGTCCTTCTGCGACACCCAGTCCTGGGTCTCCATCCCTGGAAGTAGAGGACAAGCTGGTGACACCTGGAGAGAAGGTAGGTCACTTCTTCAGTCATCACCCAGCTTGCCCCCTTCCCACCCCCAGAATCTTCTCTGTGGCCTTCCTGCTGGGAGGAAATCCAAGCTTCCCAGCACATTTTGAGAACACAGGGAAGACCCAGTGCCCAGCTGGGTTGAGTGTCACAAATGGAAATAATCCCCAGGTTTGGGGGCCTTAGGGGTTATCTCTGTGGTACTGATAAACCTAAGACCAGGACACAGCAGAGACTAATGCTGGGGTGAGAGGGTTGTCTTCCCAGGGAAAGGGGTCTCCATCAGCCTTGCTCTCGAAAGTGTGCTTCAATGCTCTTGTAATTTTTTAAGTATATTTTTATTGATTTCAGAGAGGAAGGAAGGAGAGAGAAACATCAATGATGAGAGAGAATCATTGATTGGCTGACTCCTATGCAAACCCACTGGGGGTCAAGCCTGCAACCCAGACATGTGCCGTGATTGGGAATCAAACTGTAACCTCTTGGTTCATATTTGGATGCTCAACCACTGAGTCACACCAGCCAAGCTCTTGTAATTTTTTAACAAATACTTGAAATATTTATCAGAAATATCAAATGTAGAGAGAGACCAAGATGGCGGCATAGGTAAACACCGGAGAATGCTGCCGCAAACAACCACTTCAAAAATACAACTAAAAGACGGAACGGACATCACCCAGAACCACATTAACGAACAATTGAGATATTTATCAGAAATATCAAATGTAACATTCTGTTGTATTTATTAATAAACATTGGAGCCCTGGCCGTTGTTGCTAAATGGCTAGAGCATTAGCATGTGCACCAAAGGGTCGAGGATTCGATTCCCAGTCAAGGGCACCTACCTGGGTTGCAGGTTCAATCTGTTAATGTAAAAAAAAAAAAAAAATCGAACCTGTAAATAATTCTTGTGAGTTTAAGTTTATTTGAGCCAAACTGTGGACAATTGCCTGGAAACAAAACCTCAACATATTGGGATAATGCTCTGGAGAATGGCGGGGTTTTACCTTGTTTTTTTAAATTACCATCAAAGGGGGAGACATAAATAGGTTACATGAAATCCATTGGTGATAGATTAGGGAGGTGGGAGAAAGCAAAGCAGGGAACCCTCTGGGATTGGATAAAAAGTGAAATGATGAACACATGCTTATTTTACATAGGTGGATACAGGATAGTTAACAGTCAACAATTAACATGATAACAAGAACAATGAGGGAATTTGTGCTCTCCACCCTGGTGTCATTCGTTGCACCCTGAGGGGTCCTGAAAAAAGGGAAGTTACAAGTTACCCAGACACTTCACAGGTATGTTATCTTAGATGCAGAAAGACAATAGGCTCGGTGAGGATTGAAAGTTAGTCTTTGTCAGGGAGAATACTGGCCTAGGAAATGACTACCTACTATAAGCTGCTTTTAGTTAAATTTTTAATTTCAGACCATGCTTTGTGGGTCTTTGAGTTTACAAAACCATCATGCAGGCCTTCCCTGAGCTTGTCAGGTTAGCATGTGGCTTGCTGCCTGCCCCCCGCTCCCCTCCTCCATAGATCCCAGGCCCAGGTAGGGTGTGTATAGAAGGCAGCTAAACCAATCGATGTGTCTCTCTCACATCAATGTTTCTCTCTATCTTTATCTCTATCTCTCTCTCCCCCTCTCCCTTCCTGCCTTCTATTCTCTCAAAAAAAAAAATCAATGTAAAAAAATATACTTGGGTGAGGATTAGTAAATAATAATAATAAGCATTGGATTTTCATTTCTGTGTTTTGTTCACTGCTGTATGGCCAACTTCTTAAAAGGGCTTGGATGAGCAGTATAAGCTCAATAAATATTTGGTAAGTGAGGAAAAGAAAAAGAAAGAGAGAGAGAGAAAGGAAGAAAGAGAGAG